ATATTAGGTTTTTGTGTGAAGTGACGGGAAAATTTCGGGTGTCAATCTGAAATGTTTGTTGAATTGTCATACCTACGTAATCTGTGAAGTCTTCCAAAGTCTTGAGATTTGCTTACTTAGTTGATTAGCGCACTGTTTTATTTGTACCTTATGTGTGCATGTAAAGATTTCGTCTGCGTTTATGTAACCTAGGGAAGTTGAAACCTCTGGACTACACGTGCGTAGTGTCTGTTCAGTTTAACATTATATAGTTGTAGATTCTGGATTGAAACTATTTCCCCGATACCGTAGCCAGCATGACGATATGACAATGCAATGAATGATGAGGAAGATTTTTACTTTATTAAGGAAATGCTGCCTTCGGGTTGTATTTTTTTCACCGTCTGTTCGTATGATCAGTGTGCTACTCTTGAACTCATGTTAATGGATCCATGCAATCTGTTGAAACAACCGGGAAATATGAAAATTTGGCTGATATGGTGCTTTTTAAAAAAATGGATAATAGTGGCCTATTAATTCTGTACTGACTTTCGTTGCAATACTTGCAATTAAGTAGTACTTTTCCTGCGAAGAACGATGATTAGTCAGGTGCTTAACAATGACTGTCAGTGCTCGCGAACATTTGTGCACTATATATATATTATGTTTCTAATGTTACTGATATCCGTCAGGTTGGCTATGGCTTTGTTCATAGTTATGTATGTAGCATTTTTGTTAGTAGTTGAATTGCTTTTAATTTCAGCATTTCTGTCTCTTATCTTTGCTGAAATATAAGTTTCTTTAGCGATTTTGTTCAAGCAACAAACGTTGGTGATAAGTAGGTCACATTGGAAATGGCAGTACGATGCACCGTCTTCAATTAAAACTGATAAATGTTATGAAAACACGGTTTATTTGTTAATCTGGTGATTAACCAGTACCAACACTTTGACTTGTTTTTTACAGGCCTTCTTCGAGGTAGAAGAGGTTAATTTTCGCAGTTTGTTTCGTGGTCCGCAGCTGTCGTAACGTTTGAAGTCAAAAAGTGTGCTTTTGGCCCATGTTACTGGTTAAATAGTTTTTCACCAACAGGTTTGACAAGATTTGTTCGATCGGTGCATCGTCGGTAATGATTAATCATCCGATTGATCAATTTGCTTAGGTTGTGTACGAATAAACCGTGTTTTATACATTTTTCAGTTTTCAGTATGATCACCAATGCACGAAAAAATACTCGATTTTGTAACAGTGTTCACTTGACCGGAGTTGCTCAATTAACTGAATGTCAAACTCAGATCTGCGAGGTGTCAGTTTTAACCCCCGATCCGAGCCACTAGCTGTGTTTCCTCCTGATGTAGATAAATGGGCACGACTGTTTTTGAAGGAGACCACGAGTTGCGCTTGGCGTATTACTGTAGACTCTGTCTTTAAAATAAGGCGCTCCAGGTTGATAGCATAAGAACAGAGATCAGCACCGCACCATCAACTTCATGAAAGGAATTCATGAAAACAAACGAAGACCGACCTTGAAACGGTAGCTAACTTTCATTTCCTTTGTGATTGCGTTGACTAAAAATTTGCGGATTGTCATCATATCGATCCTTCGGGCAGAACAAATGTTAGTATATCGCATCGGTATTTTAGATGAACAATATTTGAAGTCAGGTCAAATACTATTACTGTAACGAATGTATTTGAAAATATGACTGAGTTTATGAAAAACGCTGGTGAAACAAGACCTTAACACTCATAAAACGATAACGATTTAAACTTGGTAGGTAAACTGTTAACATGAAGATTCACATGGCAGCTTCTATTTAGCGTCTTCAAAATAAAGTACTTCCTTGAACTGGCAGTATTTGTACTGTACTGTAGTTTTTGAATGATTCACAGATTTAGGAAAATAAACAAAGTATAAGTCATATGGAAACGTAAATGCCATAAGGAGAGTTTCTTAAAAAGCATGGAATAAGGAAAGAAAGAATGGCTCCAGCTTTATAGTTCGAAAAAACGAGACAACTTAGAAAATCCGGAATACAGCAAGATTATAAAGATTTTTTTCGAACAACCGCTAATTAAATCCAAGCATTTTCTTGTTTGTTTTATTAATAATAACGTTATAGTGGTTATTCGGCAGCGTTCATAGGGAGTTTGATCCACAGGGGGGGGGCTGTGGTGATTTCAACATTTGCCTCATTGTCTCTCACTGTCTCATTCGTAGACTGCGCACCTTGTGACTGCTTTATTTTGTCCTCAGCAAGAACTGCTGTTGTTTACGTGATTTCTCGTAAGCAGGTGGTTGTTTTGCTGTTTGCCTATTAAAGGATCGTTAGATGAAACGGCTTGCGCAAATCTTCACTAACGACCAACCGATGATTATGGTCGCCATGCGTATGTCTGATTATTCCTCGCACGTGGCGCAAAGACGATTATCTGCAATTTCGTGACGGATGAGGAAACACGACGACGAGGTGTCAGATTGAGTAAACAAACCCCGCCATTAGTGGAATAGTAAAGATGTACCAACCACCGGGAAGACAGAACAGGCGCAGTTGTCGTTGGCGATTCTGTTCCCTCATCATAGCTCGCCTCGTCTCAAATAACTTTCCCACGCCAATCTTCAAGATCACGTCATCCTCATCGATTCGATTCACTGAATGATTTCTAACGCTTCGTTGCACTCGTCGTCGATCTTTATGCTCGATTGCTCAGACGTCGCCGTTATTCGACGATTTATTATTATGATTCATGCCCTCCCACCAAATGCCACGATATCGACGTATTTTATGGAAAGTAAAAGCGTCAGGACGACGAAATGTAGCCGACGTTCCTCAGTTAAAAACCGATTTGCATCTTCCATTACTCAGCGAACTTTCTTCGAGCAAAAAACTAATCATTGAAAAGACAATCGAGTTTAACCAATATTCCCATGGCCGTCGATGGCCGGTTGTTTTTCTCGGTTCATTAAACATGTGCCATTTAACATTGTGTTCAATGAGATTAACTTAATTTTTAGCATACCGTGATAGAGTACAGTTCATTGTAGTTCAGTGCAATTTAGTATACTGTAAAACAGTAATGCATCGAGTATATCATAGAATTGAATACGATCGTATTGTTTCCTCAGTGGATGGCCTCTGTTGTATGGAAGATTGAAACGTTGGTAGTTAAGTAAGGACTTTGGTATTATTTTTGCCTGTTGTCTATAGTTATCGATGGGATCGTAAAGATGTAGCATAGTATCCCGATTTTTTCGCGCTATGGCAGAGTACCTTGAGGCTGACTTCGAATGCCACAACTGCTTTATCGATTCCTTAGTAGGGATAATATGTCTTCACCGCGAATTCCTTCGAGAAAGGAATTTACTACACGTTTGCTTCGGTGCAATCAGTTGAGAAACGACTGCGAACAACAATGCCAGCATTGTCTTTGGGTGTTATCATACCTCAGTGGGTGAGAGGTACGGCTATGCGGTCTGATAGAGTTACAGTTCGCCTTGGCTAGTCTGAATGTTGCTTATTCAATGTGATGTTCACCAGAAGGTGTAACCCCTGTTGTTGTTATCATACTAACAGATTGCTAGTTTTCGATACCACCAGTAAGAATAACCGTCTTCTGTCACGTCTTCAGATCTACACAGTGTAATTGCGCCCTTTCTTTGCTTACAGTGCCATAAAGGGCTATATATATAAAGGGCTCTCAGCAGACTATATATATATGTATAGTCTGCTGAGAGCCCTTTATGGCACTGTAAGCAAAGAAAGGGCCTAGTTTTACCGGGTCCTTGCTCCTAGTCACCGATGCGCCCGTTAAGCTGAAGACGGCTCTATGATATTGTAACATCTCCATTATGTCATGATTTGGAACCTCCAGTGCTTAGCCTAGTGTTGTAAGCTTTCATACTTACGCAACCACGTGGTGAAGTGCATTGACTTGCCACTTATTACTGTTCGCCAAGAGTGACCAGTCTTCGCTTTCGAGCTATGGTTGTTTTCATGATTCATGCCGCTCTATTTTTTTAGAATTTACTGCTGATGGCCCTGAATACGCCTGGATGACTATTCATCGCACCGTCGCAAAACCGACTGGTGTAGCTGGAAAATGAGTAAGTATTGTGCGTACTGATTCAAAGATTTTTCTCTAAACAGTACTGAAAAATAAGTATATCATTGCTACATGGCACTTATTGTATGTTGCAAGCGTCATTCAATGTGTGTGCAACGCTTAAGGGCGTACAAGTGCATGCAGATATTATCGGCACTAACTGCAAGGTATCTATTTGGAACGAATGAATATTTTACTTCTTGAATGGAATATTTCGTAAGCTCATTATAATCATATAATACAGTGCAGCATCCCACCATCCGGTTGAAGATTTGCGTGTCTGTGAAGATGAAGCGCTCCGCTTCTCCATCGTGCAAGTTAATTTTCCGTCAGCTATATATACAAAGGCCGACAGACCAAAGTCATAAAAAGTCATATTCTGCGACGGATTGGCTCTTTTATACATGTACGCTAGAACCGGTCCGTCTTTACCTCCGGTACGTTTCCCGCCTAACGCTGGCATGGTTGGTTCATAGGAACATAAGTTTTAGCACGGGCACAGTCTGCTATAGTGGTATAATGCATCATGTATATTGTTTGATACTTAAGGGATGGTACTTGACGAGATTTAATGTTTTTGTAAGAATATGTTTTAAAATGCAAACTTTTAATCTCATCACCTGAATGGGGATAAAAAATCAATACTTAATATTTATTGATGTTTATTTTGCTTTGTGCGTAATTAAACCATGTGCACGAAGGAAATATTCTAAAATCAGTACTCTTAGTACCTCATGACGTCTGTTGCTTTTGCGGTGATATTAACATATTTAACCATAAAGCATACTTATGGTAGGAAGTGATTCATAATAATCATTTCATTCCCATTTATAATTGCATTGGTTGTTATATTTAACTTAGCAATAGTCTGCTTCATTTTTTTATTTGATATACTTCCTTTTTTCAACTGTCATATAATGAAGTATTTCCTAGGTACCTCGACTCTGAACGGTAAGATTGTTCAAGAAGAGTTCGAAGAGGATGAATTGCGAGAGAGAACAGAAATCGTGGAGAAGTATGAAAAGGTATGCGATGAAGTTGTGATAGTTACGCGTTATTGTGTTGCTACCTGCTTCTTTTGTTTCTTTACCTTGTCTGTCTCTTTCGCTTCCCGATGACCATCAGTCAGTAGTTAGTTTTAGGTCAATGAAGGGAGCACAATAGCGAACGAAGAAGACGAGGCTGAAGTATACAAGTTAAGCGATCGATTCGGTTTTCTACAGTAAGACTAGATTGAACCCGTTCTAAGACCTTTTATTTAATGCGTTGTTTTTAGCGAAGATGCAGATTCGATCCGTCTCGCCAACTCAGAAAAAGTAAATGCTGATTATGATAATTACAGGTCTTGATAATTGTAATTTAATTATTAGCAAGTAATTGTACTTATGCTGGATACTTATACATTTTTTTTCTGTGCAGTTCTTCCAAGTAGAATCGACGAACCAGCTTGCGTTAACAAGTTAAATAATGGAGCAGATTTTTCGATTTGTCTACAACAGCTGTACTCAGTGGGCAGAACGACTTATTGCAGCCAACCTTTTTCCGGGTCTTTTTAAATTATTCCTTTGTGAGTGGTTGAACTGGTATTCTTAGAGATGCTTTTATGCTAAGTAACAATAAAGTCAGCGAGAGTTCATAGGGATAAATCCTTCCATTCTCATGTTACCGTTACATGGCGTCGTTGACTTGTCTATACTGAGTTATGGGGAAGTTTTCTGATCTTCATACCGACTGAATTAAAGAGAATGTGCACTGTGATTCACAGATTCCATACATCAGGATAACTTTCTGGGATTAGCTTAAAACTAGCAGTCCACCGATTCAGATCATTTATGTAGTTCAGATCAATCGCTTCCATCATTTATAGATGCACAAGCGAAAAGTGCTGCATGGGGTATGGGGACAGAAAGCTGAATGACGTGCTTGTGTTACCAGCAGCAGATATTTTGCCTAATAATCACATGGAGACCGTAAACTTAATGAGAATCGGGTATAGCTACTTTTTCCTGTTCCGGCAGTGTCAAGCACTACAGCACTAGGACGGTTGCAAAATTCTTCTTCCTTCTAATAACCTTTCCTTTGATTAATAAATTAGTAGGAAGAATGATTTAATCGGGTTCTGAAAACTTCTGAAACAGTGATATAGTGTGTTTTAATCGTACACATTTGCTCACTTAAATTTTCGAGATGTTATGGATAACTTTCTTCTATCCATCAGCTTCGCTATGTTCTAAATGGTGACCATTAATTGACTGACAGAAGAAATTATACTTTGTATCAAGCGAGCGTCGTCGATAACTTTTCGTCGCCCATTTTCTGTTCAGACAGTCGGAGTTCGACGTGATGAACAGCTTTCTTCATTTGATCATTCGGAATTAATGGTGGGCAGTGATCTGAGAATTAATCATCCAGGTTTGTGATTAGTGTGGTTTTCTCTTAGACATAACTGCCTTAAAAGGCAGCTATTGACCTGCCTGTCCAGGTGCTATTTCCCCATTGGCAAACCATAGCGGCTAAATAATCTGCACTTTGCCGTACCTACCCCGCTTGCGCGATCCTCTATGTTCCTCACTGCTTGTTGTATTCCAGACGATGCTGAAGATGTTTTGTCCAGCATTGTATGCATTGGGACATTCATCCGCTATTAAGCATAATGGATTAGTTGCTTTTTCCTAAAACGTACTGACAGCGGCTGTTCATAATCACAAAGGGCTTGAAAACAAATAGATTTTGTGTGAAATGTTCAAAACAAACAAATAAAGCAGTTACTTAGCTATTTTCCGCGGAAATTAGCTTCTCATGCGTTTCATCCAGCAATACTTTGACTGACATTCTGAATAATCTTTGAGCCTGCTCCTTATCGGTTGTCCATAAAATGTGTTCTTCTTTCCATTGGTGATTCGTCGAATTTTCCATCAAAATATCGCTGAATCGAGCTCTGGATGGGTTCTTCAGTTTTAATTCTTTTGGTATAGAAAAAATGAAGTCGCAACACGAAAAACAAGGAGGTCACGCTATAGCGACTACACGGCTGAAGATATTGCCCTCAGAAATGGCACTTTTGCTTGTCAGAGACATCAGCGTCGCATGACTGGTTTTATGAAAGAGGATAGCATGGTACCAACGATCGATATCCAATAGTTACAAACCTTACTGATTTCTTGATAAAAGGCCAATGGCAATGAGTTTGATACTCTAGATCTAGATCATTGTTCAATCAAAGTGAGCTAAGTTTTCCACATAACTCTAGTAGCCCGCATGCCAATGAATGATCAAGAGTGGTAAAAATGAATCAGTAAAAAATATCGGAAAGAAATAAAATCGTCTGATTCCGCGGATGGATCTATATTACAAATCTAGAGACTTTGCAATATTGACAGACCGATGGGAAGTCGAGATTTGAATTATTGGAAAATTTAAAGGAAATGAGAAAATGACATCATGACCACATGGCTCATACACAGTGCCAATTTTCTGCTACTGCTCGCTGATAATGGACAACATCGATCTGGCAGTTGTCTTTCAACCAACTTTTAGTGCAATCATGTAGTTTTTAATGTCCACTAGAGCCAAATCGGGTTCACATAGTACTGCTTCTATTACAGTGAGTACGACACATTGACATTGTAGTTGAATGCGACATATAATTACAATATTAGTGATACCATTCAGAAAGATAATGATAAATATTTACATCGTATCTGTTTGCCAAGAAATGATGATATTTCACTCTTGTAGGAAAAACGGTTGGAGCTGAAACGGGAGTCGAAATGGTTAACAATGCTGAAAAACTGGAACAAATATGAGCATAGTATAAAGGTAAGGATTAAATGTTGATAAAATTAGCTTATTCCGTTTGTACTGTGATGATAATATTTTTTTAACGCTTACAAGGAATGTTTAAGGATTCTTTGAATCCGTACTAACTTGCGTATCTCACTCTTTTCTAGTATTCATATCAAGTGTCGTGCGAACAGTGGACTGTCAGTTATGAGCAACTGCTTAAGCGTCAAAATTTGCATCAGTATACCTTTTATAAAAAGGCTTGTCCACAGAGTCGATTATTGACTTGCTAATCGTACACTCTGATTTACGATACTCTGCAATAGATGTCTGCATCAAGAGAAATGCAGAGCTGTCAACCAATCATCACCAGTTGTTGGCGCCCTCCGCTCTACGGGAGGGAGTTCCCTGTGAAGGCCTGGCGGCTAAAGTGGCCACAGAATCAACTGGGAAACTTTGTCTGCTGCGAATGTACGGGCAAAACTTGTAAACAACATCGTACGGCGCTTTGAACGGATCCCGGTGATGACCGCAAATGTGGAAAGCGAAGATAATCTTTTGAAAAGATCTGCTCGAGGCTGCCGCTGAATGTTGCAGTTTCAAACGGGTTGGCCTACTGCCTGGAGATCGGAAACGAACTTCGTGGTTGATAAGATCAATACAACTGACAATTAAAGAGAAGAAGGCTGCATTCAAGGTTTAGCTTGGAAAAAAAAAACTCATGCGATATGTAGAAGCGCGAAAGGCGATAACGGAAATGCACAGCTGATTCTTGAAAGAAATTCGGCGAGGTGTTGGAGACGAATTTCCAGACGGCAGACGAGGTATTTTAGCTGATCATTTGCCGCCGCTGAGGTTGAGAGTCTAAGAATTGTCAACGACAAGTATGGACACCCTCTTATCGAGGATGGTTACATTATTCAGCGGTGGAATGAATACTTGAAGAACTGTTTAACCCTTAGCACCCGAAGGAAAACTCGCCTGAAGAGCAGCACGCAACGGATATTAGTCTTTCAGAAGATAAGTCACAGCAGCTGTAAAAAGCATGAGAAGTGGCAAGTCGATCAAATCCGGCCTGGAATATTTAAAGCTTTAGGCTATCAACTTTTGTTGTATCTAACTCGTGTCTGTGAACGTCCAATGGCGACGGAGAAGATACCTATAAACTGGAGAACGATGATTGTCGTGCTTCTCTTCAGAAAGGGAGACAATAATGGACACTACAGTTATGAAGACATTACCTTATTGATCTCTACGCTAATGTGCTAAAAAGGAGATGCTATGAAATGACTGACTCTCTGATCGAAGAAAAGCAGTATGGCTACAGTTTAAACCGAGACACCTGCCAGATTGTTTAGCCAGATCGTTTAAATTCGCTCATTAGGTTCACATACGCTCTGTGAACGTAGGTAAAATCTATGCCAGGATCCCGTGCCTATGAACATATGGGATTGATGGCCAGTTGCTACTGGTAATCCAGTCGCTATATGCTGATACCAGGCGCTGCGTCAGTGTAAATTATGTTAGGTCAGCACCTTTCAGCTTTTTCACTGGTCTCCTCCAAGACTGTGTATTGCCCATCTCTTATTTAAGTTGTAAATGGATACGATATGCGGGCGCAGCCGGGGCAACGAGTGCCTCAGCGTAGGAGACGTAGAGACAAGAAAATTGCTGTTTGCAGATGACCTTGTTTTGTTCGCATCTTTCGAAACTGATCTCAGTGTTCTCTGAAAAATTTCATCGCTGAATCTGAAGTTGCGGCATGCGTGCGATCATGTCTGAAATGAAAATCTTCGTGTTTTCCTCGTTCTCTTACCCGTTTCGCTCTGCAGGTGCACGAAGAAGCAGCGGAACAGTTGGAGAAACGCACATACCTTGGTTCAACGTTTACTAGTAAAGGAAATGGGGTGGGGAAGGTGAATTGCAGGTTAATTCTAATGACAAGCCGCGTTCTTCGTGAGTTATCCAGAAGCTTCACGACTAAAGCAGAGCTGAGTCTGAAAACTAACCTCTTTCTGTTGATATCGATCTTCGCCATGGTCACATACAGTCACGAGTCGTAGGCCTTAGTAGAAAAACTGAGATCTCGGTCACAGTTGGCTGAAATTTCAGTTTGTCGATGACCTGTTGTGTTCTTTGAAATATACTTTTCTCATCGAGAACGTTTTTTGTTTCAGTTCAGAAAACGAGTGTTCAAGGGAATACCGGACAAGTTTCGTTCAGAGGTTTGGAAACGTCTGCTGAACATCGACCGTTACAAGAAAAGAAACGTTTACGAGCAGG